GTTTGCCTCTCTGCAACACCATTGCATATCTAAGGGCAACCTCAAGCCTCTTTCTGAACTATTCCCAAGCAGAATTCCTTATTTTTGTAGCAGCCTATTTAATTATTCCCCTTTCGACGCACTTGTCCTCATTAGTTTTTACTGTTACTCAGTTTTGGCAAACCACCTCTTAACACCATCCATGTTTTTACTCTAACCTTGCATGAAGCCTCCCCTCCCCACATAGTCAGAGAGCCAGCAACAACAAGTCCTGCAGATCAGGGTTCTCCTTTCAAAGCAGATGAAGCTGTCTTAGGTGGGAAGAGACCAGACGACAGCCACTGCAGCTGTATCTTATTCTAACAGAGTTATTTTTCAACTAATTATGCATTAGCATACAAGGACCTGACCTTGGCCAAGGCTTCACGTGTCTTGTGGAAACACAAGAAAGGCTTCGTAGTCGTTTTAGAGTCGCATCTCATGATTTTCTTCTGTGCAATTAAAGAATTACCTTGCATAGCTAGGGCTACTAGATTGAATTTTCCACAAATGGAGAGTAACTGTTTCTCCCTGCATCTCTGAGGCACTTCTGAACACTGTTGTTTAATTCACCCTAGCATCCTCTAGACTTCAAGCTCCATATTCCAGAGCACTCCTCTTGGGACCATTACCATGTCCTGGGAGTGCCCCAGCTCACGCTCGCCAAGGCGAGCGCTCCCGACGTGGCCTTCTGACAGCTCCAAGTTCTGCAGGGTGCATTTGATCTCGCTGACCTTTGCTGTGTGCTACGTTAAAATGTTAATCAGCCGATCACAATCTTTATGAAAATGGCAGCAAACAAGACTGCATACTCCAGAGGCTGAAATATTCAGATTTTACTTGTTGTCCCTTCACAGCGTTATAATTGACCCTAGTCTTTTCTGTTTTCCTCTCTTCCTTTACCTTTCATTCAGGTTTGGCTTTCCCATGTGCTGAGTGCCCTACTTATACAGGTACTAATTAAGCACTCATCCACAACTACCTCTAGACTTCCTGATCAATATTGATAAGCACTATTACCGTAAGCACCTTTGGAGACGCAGTAAATCTTTAGCATTTCATCATCTCAACGTACAGCACCTCCTTGCATGAAAACTCTGCCATCTGTAACATGCCACACGTTGCTCTGAACAGTTAATTCCCCATCCCAACCTGAAAGAGATCCCAAGACCCCAGTTCCCAATGGTCTGCTACCAATGTTGAGATGAAGACATTTAACTAAAACCTTTGATTTTTTGCCCCCTATTTAAAGCTTCGACACTCTTTGGGAGAAGTAGCATGCTTAAAAAAAATATTACTACTACATATTACTTATTCTCCTGAAGCACTACTAAATTATTAGCTACTCAAACGTTGTTTTAAATCATTGCTTACCCACTACTTTGATGCATGTAAAACAGTACTGCTCCCTACATGAAAAGGGGCAGCCTCTACTGTATCAATTGCACTATTTCTTACTTATTTCGGTCATGTTAAAACCCAAGCTAGGTTTTGAGTTCAAGATGCTCTTTACATACAACACTGGGATTTGTGAGCACTTGGATTATACCACATTTTGTGAACCAAGGGATACTCAGTATTTTTACACACCCAACAAGTCCAGAGAGTTGCACCGTATCCTTGACATCAGGCTGGCTGGCTCTTAGAGCCAATACCCTTGCAAATATTCTCCAGCTCCCTCACAGCAGTTTTGCTTGTAAAAAAAAGCTCTCTGGTGCCAACAGTCAAGATACATACTGCTCTGGAGTAGCTCTTCCTTTTGGTCCTGTCATTCTCTAATCCAGCCTGCAGTGAGATTAAGAGCGCAGGATGAAAAAAGATCGACGAATTCACGTGCTCCCAGATAAAGGCAAGCATGCAGATCAACATGCAGAAATATCGGTGCGGTATTTCTGCAGCTCTGCAGGAGATGGCTCAGTAAGCACACATCAAAACAAAAAAATCAAATTAAATCAAACTCAAATGATCAGTTATTAAAGAATATTTCTAAAAGCAATGATAGGACTGTTAAATTTAGTAGCCGCAGTTAACATTATTCATGCTTGCTGGGTTAAGTCAATTAATAGAGCTACCAGCTGTCTATACTTACCACATCAATACATCCATGCAAAATCCAAATGTGTGTGAACTATTTCTGTATATAGGTCACTCACAAATAGATTCATTGCATCTCAAAATTGAAATAGAGCAGGGAATGGAGAAGAGGGTAAGAAAACTACTCTCTGCAAAACTCTCCATAGCTTGCTTTTCAACATGCTGAGGAGGAGACAAAAGCCATCTCAATGCAGTAAAACCAATAGTCTTTCAGTAGTTTCATAAAAGCAGCGCAACCGTATTGCGCTTGACCAATGACCTCGGTCCCCACACGGTGCTGTCACGGGACAGCCCTGTTCACAGCTGGAGACACAAGGTGTCTTTTTTAGGCAGCATGTTTGTCCTGTTCCCTTGGCTACATCTATTCAAAGCGAGTTTGGGAGGGCGTTATACCTTCTCAGATTCATGCTGAAACACAGACCAGGTGGACATACCTGGTCAAAGGACAGGCAGACTGCTAGAGACAGGGAAAACACAAGTAGCTCTACTCTGCCCTGGGATAACTACCGAATTGGATCTAGCTTAGGTGTCCCGAGTCCCTCAGTGCTTCTCATGTGAGCTGGATGCCCGTGTCAGAGCAGCATGCGAGAAGCAGGGTCTTGACACCACAGAATACCATCAGCAGCCTTTGAGACCATCCTTAGCTTAGGTCAGTTAGGATGAGTGTTAGTTTCTGCTTCACAGTTAGCTTTTTTTAAACACCCACTGCAACTCTCAGGCTATTCTCACCACTGGGTAGGCGCTGGTGTATTCCAGGTGAGACTGTCAAGGCACAAGAGGAAAGAAAAATCAGAATATAAAAAAGAACATTGAAAGAAATGATAGGAAGCAGTGGGGGAAGGCACGGAAAAGAAAAATAATTTTGATAACGCTGGATATCTTGCACAAAGCCAGAAGTCAGAAAATTCAGCTAGCACAGCGACCAAGGGGCACAAACTACCCCCAGTGAGTAAAATCCAACAGCATTTCCTAGATGAGACAGCAGCCCGCTCACATAGGACAGCACAGGAGCTTGCAGTAAGAGAGACTGAAGAGCTGGTCATCTCATGCTCAGGATGAGGTTTTGGAGTTTCCTTTCTCATGCTGAAGAATCAAACAAGGGGAATTTCCAAAACATGAGGGGCAGGATGGTTTTGATAGCTTCTCAACAAGCCGCAACAAAGCTACTGGAGATACTTGCATCTGTAAGGATTCACTGCAGCTGAGGGCAGCCCTGCAAGAGGCACAAACACCTTCACGCCAACATGACACCAGCTCACGAGGCTGCTGCTACCTTTGGAGGGCTTAAACCAAACAGCCAGCATGGTCTAATCAACATCTCAGGTGGTTTTCTAGCCCATGCTGATGGTCACACTGCCAGAACTACTCACAGACATCTTTCCCTCCAAAATACTTCCACAAAATCTCCATAGAAGACAGAAATCGAAGAAAAAGATGGCATTATGAATGATACAGGCCTTGCTTGCTTTAGAAAAGCATGACTGATCATCCAGATTCACCTTTCCCTTCAAAAGGAAAGGCAAGAACGTGGAGGGAAGATGCTGTCAGAGCACTAAGGATGCTGAATACCCAGTGTGGTGGCATAGGAGGATAGTGACTTCACTGCACACGCATGCACTGCACGATTTACCAACCCTCAGGCTTCCACGGCTACCCACGGACATGCGCTCATCTTCATCCGAAGCCTAGCAGGAGGAAGTGTAAAGACAAGAACACAGTGAAAAGAACAAAAATAACAAGGAGAAGTAAAAGCAGGTGGCTCTGGTGAGACAGAGAGAAAAATCATAGGGAAAATGCTGTAAAAATGCATGAAATTATAATTAGAAAGTAAACGAAATCATACAGTGTCAAGCATGTTACTACAGGATGAATTACAAGCTTGCTCAGGTCTTCCCTGCTCTATGTGTTTGGCTCACAGTCTGAATAAGTTAACTTTAAAAGCTCATTTAAAAGCAGGTCATTTCCCACCTCTTTAATCACAGACATTTGCAAGAGTTCTCCAGCCCATTTCATATGGCTGGGGAGAATGCCGAAAGGGCACAAAACGGGGTTTTTCTTTTTAAAATCACTATCCTTTGAGGGCTGCTTTTTCTTGCAAAAAGCAAGTGCCCTTATGCACTTCTTTGCTTTCTTAACGTGAAGTGTCGAGCTCTAAGGAACAAGGAAAGGTAAATACTAACCGAGGCATTTCTCCGGGCTCTACGGGAATAACGCTCACTGTCTTCCTACCAAGGCAGCAGAGAAAAAAAAGAATGAGGCATTGAAAGGACAGATACAGCAGCACAGCACTTTGAGAGACACAGGGAAGTGGCTAGGAGTCAGGTAGGTTTAAACCAATAACGCAAAGTAACACTAGGTCAAACTGGGAAATAAATAAATAAAAATATTTCCTTCATTTGTGACCCCCAACTTTGCCCCCTCCCTTCTAGCCTTGCCATGCAGTGACTTCGTCTGTACCTCAAAAAATGACTGCACAGCCTAGTGCCTCTCTGTGCCTCTGGGAATCAGCACAACTGCAGTGCTTTTGCAATCAAGCTTTCCAGCCTACAATCCTTCCAAATATATCTGAAAAAAAAAATTTATCTGAAATGATTTGGCAGGACAACTGCCACTGCAGGGCATGATCCAGAGGGGGGAAGTGGGGCCACCTCCTCCAGGGCAGAGGCACCTGTGCTCAGCCAAGAGCCGCTGCACCGCGCTGCGCTGATGCTTATTGAAACTCTAACCCAAGACATTCCCTGGGTAAATGCCGCGTAGCTGTGTTGACCAAGGCCTACCATCCATTGCTCGATGTCGCCCCACTTAGTATCCAGACCATAATATTTCTACAGACAGAAAAGGGGAAAAACAAACAGAGTTTAGATGAGAAAGGTGGCCACCACGCGCTGAGACATGCGGTTAGGGCAGCATCACACACACGGGTTAGACAGTGCGCCAAGGAAAGGCCACGGGAGCCCTTCTGATTCCGACACGGCGCCTGCCCCGGAAAACGTCCCTGCACAGGGAAAGGAGCAGCCACCCGCGAGGAGGGTGGGCTGCTGAAGAGCTGCTTGTTTCCCAGCACTGCAAAAAACAGAAACAAACCACTAGCGCTCCGGGGAAAGGAGCCAAGAGCGTAACGAGCCTCAAATTCCTGACCCATTTCAGTCAAGATTTATTATAATGGATCTGAACGCACATTTGCGGGATGGGAAACGCTGTCACATCACGTTTACCATACAGATTTACCATGCTGGAAAGACAAGTTGAATAAAATACAACTAATCTGTGTGCATTCTTATTCAGTGTTTTTGCAGCTCTTCAAAGCTCCTTTTCACAGCACAAGATTTTATTTTTGCTTTGACTTCGATCATCTTGACAATGGTTCGGTATCGCCCGTGGGGACGGCACAGGAACCTTGAGGATGTGCTCCCCATAGCAGGCTCCATTGGAAAACTCACCCCATTTTGGTATCAAATGTGCCACGGTTTCCCAGAGGATGGTCTCTTCCAACTTGTTTCTCTGATCATGTTTCCCATGCCCAAGATTTGCAACTTCCCACTGAACTTGTGTCTCCACCAGACAGCAAACTGCAGAGATTGGCAAGTTGCACGGGATTTTTCTTCCTCCCCAAGCACACATTAGGAGACTCGACTCAAAGATTGCATTTATAATAACCGTGACATGCTTGTGTGAGGGGAGGAAAGTAGTTGGACTAAAAGATAGCAACCAGCAAAAGGAAACCTGGCTAAGGAAAGGAGAATGTATTTTAGAACAATTTTGAGTTTTGTACTTTGGAGTTCATGTTAATGCAGAAAACATAAGTCTGTACTTGCCTGCTTTCTCCAAAGCAGGAGGAGACAGGAATATCAGCAGTCACAACGTGAGACAGTGATCGAATCTTGGAATCTTGTTCTGAATTATACTCCAAATTCAATGCTCATTCAATGGTATTAACGCAATCTGTCTTTATAGTGATCAAATCTTAGAATCTTGTTCTGAATTACACTCCAAATTCAATGGTATTAACGCAATCTGTCTTACTTTGGCCTTTAAAAGCCCCCACTCACTAATTATTAATGAACTTGAATCTAAGCACTTTGTTTGATCTTGTACCAGGTTATTCGCACTTCAGGCTTCTTCCTCATTAAACCACATGATGATTTGCATCTTAAGATCATTTTCATTCTAAAGGCTCTGACGTGAAGAAAGCCTACCCTCAAGTCAAGCGTGCACACAGTTGCTCAGGTAGGACATCAGGGACAGCCCAGGTTGCACAAATTCCTTTAGATGCTGTCAGCTGTGAGAAGACTTTGTGAAAGGGAGGAACCTCACAGCAGCCCAACTCATTAAGAAAGACACTAGAAACAAGGGGTTTAGCCTAAAACGGGAAATTAATTCAGTGGGTGCACTTCTCTAGAAAAAGCAAGAGACAACAGTCCAGCAAGATAATTAACCACATCCCTTCCTGAGCATGGAAGGGTTTCCTTCGCTCTTCCCCACAAAGCATTTCCGTACAGGCTCCAATGCATCTAACACCCCACAGGGTGCTCAGCCAAAATGCACTTGGGTGCCTTTTTTCCCTTCAGCCTGAAGGCAGTGAGCACTACTTGGCCAAGCACGAAAGGCTTCTTCACAAACGCTCAGAGGAGCTACCTCCTGGCCAATGGGTGCTGCACACCAGCGCCCCGCAAACTGAAATCCCCTGTTATTATGTACAACATATATATTGTACAACATATGTGCTGGCCACGGCCCTTCACCCTTATGACCAGGGTGTGGGGCTGGCCAGGCCTGCGCCCTGGCAGAACCCGGGGACGATGCTTCACTGCCAGCCAGCTCGGATACAGCCTCCTGGGAGGCTCCTCTTCCTGCAAGGTTTGTTTGCGCTCAGATGTGCACGTCCTCAAAGGTCACCTCCTCACAAGCTCAGCTCCACTTCCGAGCTTTTCCTTCACCATTTAAAATTAGATAGCTCCAAGCTTGATATTCCCAATTACTTATTTCTTTCTCTAAAGAACTACCTTTTCTCCTTCCCTAAAAGGCCTTTTACGACTGAATGCACAGGTCAAAAGAAGAAATTACACTTATCCATTCCTTTGGTCTTTATTTCAGATCTCTTTGCTCACCTCAAGTTCTCTTCCACCCTAAAAAGCTGTATTAAAATTAATGACATCAATACCATTGAGAGAGCACTCCGGATCCAATCTGTTTGCCAAAGGCCAGCAAAACTTCCAGACTTGCCAAAATTGCTGCAGGATGCTGTGGGGTTAACCCGTGTTCTTCTCATCCATGCCAGCCCCCAGGAGCAAACCACCACACTGCCTCCCACGCGGCTGCGCGGGTACCAGAAGATTCAATTACAACAGTTCCCATAAAGGAGATCGATAACGAGCCTGTTGATCCGTGGGAAGACGTTAATTTGATTCACTCAGTACGCAGGCCACCAAATTAATGATGTTGGGATTGAATACCAGAGCAGATGATTTCAGTAGATTTCCCCATATAGAAACGCACTTAAGAGGAGCATTTCCAAGCGGCAGGCACGGATTGCCAGGGCAAGCTGGTGATACATGCGGTTAGAGCTGCTCAAGTGCCAGGACAGAACAGACAGGCTGGGGGTTTAGGGCACAGGTATCATTCAGCAAGCAATAAAAACGTCAGGGAAAAAAATAAAATATTTGTGAGGTGGAAAACAGCAGGCTTAAAGAAATAAATGCTTCTTCTTTCCCTGCAAAAAATCTGTTCAAATCTATTCTCTTTGCTGGACGTTCACATGCTGGAAGGACAGAAAAGCTAAACATCACAGGAAAATCCTTTTCAACAAACTTCTGCCGTCACACAGCAAGGGACCCAGTTACAGCTTTAACAGCATCTTTGTTAGCATCTAGAACCAGGAGACTGCTGTGCATCTTCTGTTCTTAAGAGGTTTTTCCAAAATGCTGTCAGGCCTGGCAAGGTGAGGGAAAAAAAAAAAAACACATGCAAACAAGAAAGCGAGACCAAGCCCTACCTTCTGGACTTGATAGATCTACGGGAAGAAGAAGGAAAAGGAGGGAAACAAGGAAACAAGAGCGAGCATGAACAAATACACAGCAGTGCAGCATTATACAACCTAGTACAAAGGAAGAGTCATTTATGCACAATGTACAGCGACACATGAATGCAAGGAAAAAAAGTCACATCAAAACCCTGAGAAGTCAGGTAAAATGAAAGCAGTGCTTATGTTCCAGGCCTCTGTGGTTACCTAAAAAGTAGCATTTCGGTTCAGGTGCTTGACACCGAGCTCTGCGCAGCCTTCACCGCCGAGACCTGACACCAGGCAGGAGAAAACCCTGCCGCGAGCTAGGAGCTCTTGCCTCTCCTCCCAGCATGTGCTTAAAAATCATACATGTTCACCTGGGAATAGCATTAACCACAGTTCAGTTTTGCTGAAGGGGAGAACTGTCCTTGACTGCTCGGCTTTGTAAATCCACACACAAACAGAAAACCTGTTTTCCAAGCTGCTGTTTCCTTGTGCCTCTCCTAGTGCTTCTAAAACAAGACCCCCTCCTGGTTTAAGAGCACCTGGGTAGTCACAGATTCAAAAAGGGAGTCACAGCTTCATTCATCACACTTTGTTGCCAAACTCCTACCTTTGCATCTGAGGGAAACAAACAAACAAACAAAATACCCCAAGGAAAAAAAAAAACAGAAAAAAAGAACACTGCTCTCAACCCCCTCTTACCTCCCAGAGGAGCCCTGACGATGGGCAAATACCAGTCCCAACCCTGGGAAAGGGCAGGTTGCTCCAGCTGCAACCCTAGGCTGGCGACCAGCCCTTGGGTTCAGGGACATTCAGACCTACTGCTTTCCGCTGCTCTTCTGGGACCTGCCAGGTCCGATCTGGGAAACGAGGTGGCTCCTGCTGCCCGCTGCCTCTATGACCTGCTCAGGTTGCCCGAACTGTGAAGGGCAACTGCATAGCCCAACCTAACATCTTGACTGCTAGACACACCACCTCGCTTATCTTGCGCCAAGAAAATGGGCTAAGCCCAGTGAGATGACAACAGAAGGCAGAATTTGAAGGTCTGCTGAATACAGCTATGCCTTCAACACTGCCCCACTCTGAATTTTCCTATGTGTCTTCACAACAGGCATATATGAAAGACCCAGGCTGAGCTTCCCACACTGCTAGATTTCTTCCCTGTCTGTGCCTCCACCAGGCCTAAGAGCCTGGGAGGCCCTGCCCTCCCACCCTGCATTCCCCTGCAGATGCCAACCCCAAAGAACAGACCTGGAGAAAACCCACTTCAGAAAATACTAGTAACATGTCTTACTTCAAATACAAACCCCAAGGAGGGTAAGCAGCGTGCTAGTACAGAATGAATTTAGCAGACAGCAAAGGCAAAGTCTTTGCATTATGCCCTTAAACCCGAGTTGAAGTGCGGACACTTGCCTCTAACTAAGAGTACAGTTTCATCTGCCGGGTGACCTGGCCTGCCAGAGTCTGTTCTTGGAGGTTAAAGAGGGGGAGAAGATAATTCTCTTTCCGTTTCAGGCTTAATATCTGCTTAAGCAGTGGTCTCCAAGTGAGCACCCTCGAGGAGACATTTAAACCCTTGCCAGCAGAAGAGGCACAAGGCACTCCCACACCAAAGCCTCCTTCTCACGGCGCTGGGTTTCTTTGCTTGGCATCAGTGAACGCGATGCACGTACCTTCCTTTCCCACCAACCTCAGCCCAGGCTCTGCTGCTCGCCCTCCTGTCCCCTGGAACCTCTGTGCACCTTCCTTCCTGCTACCTGGCATGAGACGAGATCAGTGGCAAGAAGACACCCCCAAGCCCACCTATTTCTGCTACAGAATTTGCCCAATGATGGTCAGCTGTAGCAGTACCCTGTGCCACATGGACGGCTGCCACTAGATTTCTTAGATAATCTCACATTTCAAAGCAAAGAAGCATGTACTAAATCTCCCTGGTCGAGCAGGCCACTATCATCAGCGGTCAGCTTGCCTGCCATGAGCTCCGAATTGGACGTCCCTTCTGAAAGGGAAGAAGGTGCATAATAATGCGGTCAAAAATTAGTTTAATTTGAAAACATTCACAGGAGAGAGTGCCAAAAAACCCTCAGCCATCCTGTGCTTTTTAACTGGAATGTCTTTTGTAGGGGCAAACAAAATTTTAGTTAGGTCACTCAAGTGACCTAGTTAGGTAGGTTTTAGTTAGGTAAACTCAAGATGCAAAATTTACCCAATTACTTTGAGATGACAAAAATGAAGCTCAGATTAAATTCCGCAGAACTAGAAGGGGGACAGGAGAGGAGCCAACTTCCAGTCACCAAATCCAGATCACTAAACCACACCACTCTGCTGCCAGCAAGAGCTATACTGCCCTGTCTATAGCTCTTAATGGTAACATCTGGAAACTTTTAACCCAGATCAACAGTATATATTCTCAAGTGATCCATGCTGCACGAGCAGCCTGTCAGAGCATGCACATTGCTCCAAGCAGGAACAAGTACACACACATGCAGTAAATGTATTTATTGCTTTTTAACTCCTGTTACTGGCTCTCAAAAAGCCTTCTGAAGTAGTGAGTGCTTTAAGTTCTGGCTATTTCACATGGCAGCTGTGGGAAACGTGCTATTTATTATCCCAAAAAGGTTATGAAGGAGAGTGAAAATGGCAGACAAGAAACTGTATGGACACCAGTGTCACAAAGAAGGAGCAGATGCCAAATCTCTCATCCTGACAGCTACTTAGAATGTTTTTTATTTGTTTTTTTCCTTATGTTTGGAAGATACTTGTGCCAATGAAAAGCTCATTGCAGTTGGCCCCACTACCCCACCTCACATCCAGAAGCTAGATTTAAGCTAGCTGAAAGGAGGACCAAGCTAGCAAAATATTCAGTAAATGCATTTTCAAATTATATACCTTGAGTGAATCACAAAACCAATTAGAATGAATTATTTGGGGAAGCTTGCACTGTATTTGGTATTTTAAAATGACATCTTGCACCATTCAGTTTCTGTTTCTATAAAAAAGAATGTTTTGGGAACATTCTAAAAGAGATGTTCCCAAATTCTCAGATTCTCAGCTCTTCCATAATCGTCTGCAGGAACCGGCATGCACGCAGGGGCTTTTCCAGGGCTCACCTTCACAGCTCAATTCCCATTTAGTAGGGCTCTCTTTACATCTTTGAAAGCAAGGAGTCATCAGCTGCATTAATGTTCTCTAAAATTAGATGATAACTAACCATAGCACCCATATTTAGCTTGCTGCCCAAATTCCTGTGGTATCCCTCTTGTTTGCCACAGGTTTTTTCGAGGCTGCTTGGCAAATCCCATTGCTCTGGCTGTAGGTGCAGTGAGAAGCTCGACAGCTCTGAAGCTTTTCAGCAGTCCAGGCATTTCGGCTGAGGCTTAGGCTACAAGAAGCACCGCCCAAGAAGGAGCTGCAGGATTACAAGCCACCCTCTTCCACAAGCAACGTACTTGCTGGCAGTGCTCCCATCGCCCCAACTTTTTGGGTGTCTGAAGGTGCCTCTAGCCCTGCCGTAGGCACAGTGCATTGAGGCATATCCGAGGGTGCCTTGGCTGGAGGAGATGCTCCGAGCACAGAGCTCAGCCTGGGCAAGCTGCTCAAGGGCTGCTCTCGCTCCCAGCCAAGCACTGCAGCCTGCTCCCGAGCTCCATTCACTCTTTTAAAAAAGAGAGACGGGATCTCTTTGCACTGAAAGCAGAGATGGGCATCTGTTTTTCCCTCATATTTCCCCCATCCTTCATTTCCATCATTCTTTCCCTCCCTTCCAAGTTTTTTTCCGGAAAGTAAATTATGATGCTACTAGCCTTGCTGCATCTACTCTGCTCATTCATTAAACACATATTTACCAATGCAGGTTTTAAATGTTTGTGGTCCTCATCACTGGCTCGGTCACCTCTGCCAACTCGTGCTTGCAGACACATTCACCCTTTCAGCTTCAGAAGCTTGAACCCAAATGATGATCTCAACTTCTTGGTGTGGAGGGAGAGACATTTAGTACAGCTCCTGCTCGTCAAACCCAACACAAGAATGTGCCTGTTTGGCCTTAAAGGTCATTAAACATCATTCCTCCCCTGGAAGCCTATAATCTCCTACTGGGCCTGTGTCACTGTGTAATTTTGCTGATAGTGTAAAACGACGAGTTTTTCCAAGATATGGGGGAGACTATTAGTGATTTAACTCCAATTCTTTGAAGAAGGCAGTTTTTCCAACTTTAATTTCTGCTATTACTTCTGCCAACAGCAGACCATCATTTTTAGAAACTGGGCTGACCATAGTGACAATAAAGCAAAAACAAATAAAGCAAGTAAAGACTGGCAGAGGTGCCATGACTCTTGCATATTCATTACATTTCTCATGAAGTGCTAGCAACATCTTCCCCCCCAGTGCACGCACAAGTTACAAATCTCTAAGTTTAACATTAAACAACAATTACAAACACCAATGTTCTTGTGAATAACTACACTGAGTTCACCAAGATAAAATTATTGCTGTAGTCCCTCTTTTCTCAGGCCATTTCTTATCATGCAATCAAACCGAGCAACACTAGCTCCACAGAGACTGTTAAGGTTTCAGCAAAACAAACATTAACCCCTTTTTTCCAAGATCTTGGATCACATTCAGGGAACAAGACGGTCAAACCACCTCCCCAAAGCCTTGAACGTACCTCTTTCTGCTGCCTCTCCAGTTCTTTCATGCGGATCTCCCGTGCCTCTGCCCGCGCCGCCCGCTTCGCCGCGAGCCTGGCTTCAGCCTGCAAAGGGGAACACAGCAATGAAACACAAGCCGGGCAACCCGGGGTGCAACACGCGCCCTACGCGGGGCACGAAACGGCGGGACGAGACCGGGCAAGACTGCCAACAGCTCTGGAGGAGTTAATTCCCTACTGCAAGCAGTGGCCCTGCCTTCCGTAATTTGTTGTGCTTCACAGGCAGGTAATACACCCCCACATAGGCACTACCCTCGCTGAGCAGGTGTGTTTAGGAGCGCTCTCTCTGTGCCTTTTTTTAATTACTATTTGCACGCATAGAGAGGAAACACTTGTATTGAGAAAGCAACTTTATTTATCAAGAGAGGCAGGGTTTACTGGCTTTTTTTCTCTTTTAAGCTTGACTTTTATCAATGGATTAATTTGACCTACAGCAAACACATTATACACCGTTTTTCCTAGCAGCCAACATCGCACAGGTGCGAATCCAGCTGCTGTCCAGCCTACATGCAAGGAAGCTCCAAATGACCAGGAGAGTGGGGCCACAGAAAATGCACCAAAATGCTGTTATCCAAGCCCAAACCTCACCAGGGTGGGAACTTGCCAAGGACAGGCCTCTGGTGAGAGACCTTCCCCACTGCAACGTGGTTAGAAGTGCCGCAGCGTGCTTTAAATTACCATTTTTAATACTCTGCTTCTCATAATGCTGCAAAAACAAACTAGGAAATATTGTAAGGAAAACCAAGAATTGGTCCAGGCTCGGTACGGTGCTGAAGGGGAGCAGCTCACCTGGCACAATTAAGAATAGCTCAGCAGGGAGAAAACAGGATGGCTCTAACCAGCTGCTCTGGGATTACAGGGAGCTCCTCTGTTCCCAGAACCTTTTGTAGCAGGTGAGAGCCAATTTCACAGCCAAAGCTACAAGATTAAGGTCAAGTGTCCAGGGAATCAGGACAGGAGCTTGTTCCTCCTCTCTGTGTGCCTAAACACACACCCAAGAAGACAAGACATAAAACCACCTCCCTTGCAGCACCAAGCTTCTAATTTTCATGCCACAGGTGGCTCTGCGTTTAGAAAACACTTGCAACAACAGTCTTCTGCGAAGGTAGGATGCTCACGATGGAAAAGGACGTAGCCAGGTACATGGGTTTTATACAAAGTGTGCATTTCTTCTCATTTCACTTCTTGAATTTCAAGCTGTCTCTGCCTTGGAGAGACAACGCAAAACACACCTGCATCTTTGCACCCCTGAGAGACCCCGTTTGCCCCTGGAAACATTGGGCTTCCATAATCCCTGAGAGCTGTTATTTAGAGCCAAACAACAGTGAACGTATCACCACAAACATCTTGAAGCGACTGTGGGTTAAAGAGCACCTGGAAGGGAGCTTGTCCAAGATTCCGCAGCCCGGCCGATGGGCAAATAGCGGCCAGGAACGCTGCCAAGCACTGCTATGATTTACCCACAATGTTTGAAGGCTTTTAAGGCACCCACTATATAAACGAGCTGTGAGATGTCCTTTGGAAAGGACTCTCTTACCCAGCACTCAAGAAATCACAGTATTTCAAGGAGCACTATATTGACTTTACGTTATGGGATTCTGTCCAGATGAAAATAAGTTTAAATACCTTGGAAAGCACCACTGTAAATCCATCTTACAGGAGGTACCATTGTAAATACAGGAGAGTTTCGAGGATAAGGACTATTCTGCACTACTCATAGGAGACCATGAGATGATCCGTATGATACAAAATACCAACAATTACCTTTTGACAGGAGGCATACTAATAAAAAAACCTACAGCGCTGCTCCCTGAGCTCAAATTGAAGCGGAAATTTGCTCCTAGGACTGCAGATCAAAGTACTTTTTGGGATGGAGAGTGAGGAAAGAGGAGATTCAGTTTTAAGCAATGCTTTTGACTGGTTGCAATTTAGAGAAGTGACCACTGAGACGCAAACTGTACAGCTTAAAAAGCAGCGTAAAATATAAAAAGGGACTGATCTGGGGAAGACAAATCAACATCAGTGCAAACTATTAGCTATATTTTTCCCATAAGGACAAAGGACTCTGAAGTCTCCATAAGCAAAATATACTAAGCAATACGTAACTCTACAACTTCCCTCCTGCCAGAAAAGAGGGAGACAAGTGTTTTTTTGGTATTAAAGTTACTGTAGATCTCTTCCTCATACCTCAGCAACTGAGCACTAGATGCCTGTATACAAATACTGTGCTTAACACATACATATTCATTACTCCTTTGGTTTTCCTTGTACTACAAGGGCCAAAGGATTTAGGTGCTTTCTAGCTGTGTCACAGAACCATGTATCATCCAGAGGCAACCTAGCATTGCAACAAAGCAATATAGAGAAGTGTTTTGCAAATTCTTCCGGATCCCCCTTGAAAACAAAACTAACCAGTTCCCTAGATACCAACAGCCATAAATTAAATTTCTTATAAATTTTGTTACTAAATTTCAAATATCTGTCAATACAGATGAGATGTGTATGTTCTAGATCCTTTTAAATAGCCTAATACATTTTTGGAGTCCCAAATGCCACAACAAGCATATGTCACAGCAGCACCTTTGCAAGCAGTCAGCACAACATTATTCCAGCAAGAACATTGGTACTTTAAAATAATTCATTTTTAACGAACCCAAAGACTCACAAGATCATTCCAGCTGGAAAGGACCCTAGGATGTCTTCATTACACACACCGGCTGCAAGGGTGCTACGCAGAAGCTTGTGCTATTACATTTTCAAGCGTTTGCAACAGAGAGGTCGGCTCCTCGCTGCTGGGCGGAGGCGAACGAGACTGCGGGTGGCTGCCAATATGCAAGGACAAGCCCTTGTAGAGGATACAATCAAGGCGATGAGCAACGGTCCATACCACACAGCAGTGCTGATCTCATTAAGATGATATTAAGCATGACCCAAATATCCTGAAGTGAAATTTACCCCGTCTCCTCAGGTGAGGGCTTATCAACACTTTCTTACTCAATGTACATCCTGCTCGGGGACTTCTGCTCCGCAGCAAGTGCAGAAACTTAAGAAATGGCACGCAGTCTCCATCAGAAATGAGGGATCAACAAACATCCTGGATATCTTGGAAAGCCAGTGCCTGGAAAAGAGCGAGGTGAGAGCCAGGGCAGCACAAGACCAGGGTCCTACCTCAGCGCTGGCAAGCCCTGCGCAGCCGCGGCTCCACGGGAGCCATCAAGAAGGCACTACCGACATGAGGTGCGCTCTTCATGGCCCCCTTCCACGCTGCCTTGGCCAACGGCGTCGCTTGGAGCGAGCGCTGGTGACGACCCAGCAGCGGCTGGTGGAGGCAGCGACGCCGGGAGGGATGGCCCCGCACCTCGCTCTTGGCACGCGGGCCCTGCGGAAGCCGCAGCAGCCCCGTGCCCCAAGCCCGGGGCCCTTTCGGACGGCTCCTGCTTTTAGGCGAGCGCGTTGCATTCACCGAGTTGCCCTTCCTCAAGAGTGGGGGCAGGACTGAACCCGCCCAAGCCTTCCCAAACCACACTCCTGGGAAGGCTCTGGCTCCATTTTCACATTAACGGCTCCATGCTATAAATACCTCCTTTCCTCGCTCAGGCTGCAAATGGCAGCTTGAGCCGCACACGTCTCCCTTTGCTGACTGAATCAAAACCGGCTCAGCCCGCAGCAACCTGGCCTTGGGCCAGCGCGAGCCAGATAAGCTCACCAAGGAGCAGCCTGGAGCCATCGTTAGTCAGATAAAAGCCTTTCTGGAGACCCCTGAGCAAGCAGAAGCGAGGGCTGCCTGTGCCCGCAGCCGCCGGTGCGGAACGGACCATGGAGGCGGAAACGGGGGTTTCGTGGCCACGCGCTGACGGCTGCGTCGGCAATAGCGCTCCCGAGGTGCCTCGCGGCCGTGACATCCGTGTGTAAGCGGGGCATCCACGGTGCTTTTCTGAGGGGTCACTGCTGAGTCAGAGCCCTGAGAAACCACCACCAATGGCAGGAAATTACCCTATTTTGAGTGGCGAAAACCTGGCCCCAACGACTTACCACGCAGCTGCCCTCGCCTGCTTGCAACCCCGATGCGGCGCCCTGTGGTGCAAGATGCATTCAGAGCAGCAAGCTGAGCGCACCAGCCAAATCTGTCTCCGTGAGAACTATCCTCACACCAATTGAAATTTGTTGCCAAGGTGCTTAAGATGCAGCCAGCAATTTGCTTTTGGCACAAGCCTAATTTTTCCACAGGCAACACTGTCCCCGGCCACATCCTTCCTGAAAAGGCTTTTTCCTGCCATGTTGTACGCCTGCATTCATTGCACTTCCTTAAGTTACACATTGTCGGACAGAAGAAATTCGATAGCGCTGGTTTTACTTGTTTAGCAATTTCAAACCTCTTTAGACAAGCAGCACCCGATTTGCAATATCCCCACAGACCAGAAGAGCAACACACCCTCCCACTAAAGCTGCTAACACATCTCAAGGCTCTTCTCCACCTCCTTTCCACCCAAGAATGGACAACTCAGAGTAGGGGGCTCCAGGAGACCCACAGGAGCTGTCCTGCATGGTGACACAAGACTGTCCATAGGTGATTTTTGCATTTGGAGGTCAAACCAATATATAATCTATATCTATATATATATATACACACACCCACATCAGCCAACACTTTCTGCATCTGAGGCACAGGAGGAAAACAAGCACCTGGGAGATAGCAAGCTGTTTCATCTCAGCCACAGATTTTATTTTTTAGAAAAAAAACATGTTCAACAAGCTCTTAAAATTAAGATCTATTTAAAGCTGCCGTGCCAGATGTGGATATTGCCAAACACTATGAAGTTTACATTGCTTGGATTTCTAAGGGTATTAAGTTGGCCTAAAGACAGATTAGAAAATACTTTGTACTTATTTATTCTAAAGGTAGGAGAAATATTTCGCTTTATCCAGAGGATGGGACTCATGACCTATTGCGAAGGAGCCAGCAAGGCCACAGGTCGACATGGTTTATAACCCTTCATAAACACCATGAAAAATGGAGATACCTCCCTTTCCTGGGCAGTAA